CTAGTCTTGATCTGCCACAACCTGGCTGTGTGACTTTGGGGATATCACTTTCTCTCTCTGGGCCTCAGTTTCTTCATTTACAAATTAAAGAGGTTGAACGAGATGTTCGAATTCTAACCTTCCATGGCTGTGTTCTGCCTTCTCTCCATATATGAAGCAACATTTGAGGCAGGTTAAATGATTCCCTTGTAATGAAAGCTGTCATATTTGATTACAAGTAGACAAGGTGACTATTCACTTAAATAAGCATGCATCCATGGACAATGCATGGGAACACACATGGAAAGATAATGACAGTTTATCTCTATCTACTCCTAGAAAGATAATGACAGGTTTATCTGTCATTTATCAAATCAGTCTGATTTGGTAGAGATGTAATATTGGCACCCAGGAAGAAACTCTTTATTGTCTTCTCAGTCTTGAGTGATGTTCTCTTGACCCACATACTTCACAATCATAGGGCCTGCTGGGATCCTGCCTGCCTCCCTGCCCCTCTAGACTCTCCTCTTGACTACTGATAGTTGCATCAACCACCAACACACTCCTGTTACCTCTTTCCAGCATCCAAGTGAAGAGATAATGAAGAGGTAGTATAGCCACCAAAGGTTGGGAGAAAAGCACTTTAACTACAGGCCAGTGAATTGTGTTTAAACCTGGAACAAATGATAAATTTATGCAATGAAACTTTATAAATCCTCCAATCGTGCCAAATATTTGCAAAGAAAATGTCCAGTTCTCACCTGAGAAGGGCCTATAGAATTAAGAATGTAAATAGATCCTAATGATAGTCACTAAAGCCTCAGTGTATTCCAACGATTAGGGCTACAGTTCTGTAGAGAATGGAAGGAATGAAGAAGGAAGGAAGGAAGGAAGGAAGGAAGGAAGGAAGGAAGGAAGGAAGGAAGGAAGGAAGGAAGGAAGGAGGGAAGGAGGGAAGGAGGGAAGGAGGGAAGGAGGGAAGGAGGGAGGGAAGGAGGGAGGGAAGGAGGGAAGGAGGGAAGGAGGGAAGGAGGGAAGGAGGGAGGGAGGGAGGGAGGGAGGGAGGGAGGGAGGGAGGGAGGGAGGGAGGGAGGCGGGAAAGAAGGGAAGATAGAGGGAGAAAAGCATCCCAAGTTCTTGGTAGAGTAGCAGTGCCCAACCATGGCTGTATGTTGAAATGTCCTGGGTGAAAACTATCACTGTTCAAGCCCATTCTCAGCGATGTTTAAAGTTCCATGTGATTCTACTATGCAATCAGTGTTGAGATTCAATGCAATACAGCATCATATTTTATTAAATAAGTGACTCAAGTATATTCAATTACTGAAGAAGAGTGGCCATTCAGAGGGATTTTATAATAGTTGTTAAGAATTGTTACCAAAAACCCCCACCAGCTTCTTATTGCAGAGGTCTAAGAAGCTAAAAGCTTCCTGAGAGTTTCCCCTACCCTTGGGGTAAATGCTACCATGTTCTGGAATCCTGAGTCTGAGGACTGCACAGTAGCCTTACACCATATAATTTCCCTTCTCTCATACCCTTTTAAAATTACTGCCAGATCAATGCTTCAGGCTCCGTATAGTCAAATCTCTTTTCCTGATCATAAGATAGACCCTGAGTCTTTTAGCATTCATAAATCATTCTCACCTCTATTATTAGCTAGAGGTTCATTTGTTGACTACATCAAAACTTTTATAACTGTTGGCCAATTGGAAAATGCCTGAGGCAGATTAATGAATTGGAACAAGCAGTGCACTGAGAATCTCAGGCCTTTGAATCAAGTTATGGATCTGCCCATGCATCTCTAGGTGACTTGAAGCAAGTCACATGCAAGTCACATAACTTTTGGGGCCTGTTTTCTTAACTGTAGAGTGAGAAAGTTGAATAATATCTAGTATCCACTTGCAACTCTAAAATGCATACTATTTCCTTCTCCACTTTCTGGTAATGGTACTAACGAACAGTAAAGGATAAGAAAGTTAAGTACAGAGGAGAAGCACCAGAAAAAACTAATGGGCTGGATGAGCTGTAGCTTGACAAATTAGATCTCAAAGCATTGACCATATCCCTAGATATGTTCTTTGCTTTTAAAAGACTGCAGTTGGATCATGTGGCAGTAAAACTTGGTAGGTTCCACTTTCTGCTATGGGTTTATATGGGAAAAGAAACATTCTCTTTCTCCTCACACTGGGAAGACTACCTTGCAAAATGAGAAGCACTTATTTGATTCTCTAGTTGTTCAATAGACTGGAAAAGAGAAAAAGCAGTGATTAAAAAAAAAAAAGACTTCTCTGCTATGCCAGACAAGTCTAAAAATATTCAAAGCCCAAGTTCAGTTCCTGTTTGCAGTTCGCTGCTCACTGTTGCCTTGTACCCACATCTCCACATTTCTCCATTCCTTTCTTTCCAGCTACCATGACCATCTCCTCATTCCTCCTATATATCTTCATGCCTCTTCATGTATGACTTGTCTACTCCAAAAAAGGTTTACCACTCCATAATTTCCTGCAGATTACACCTAAACTGTTTACCATGGCATTCCAGGATCTCTACAGTGCAGACCGTAACCTAACTTTCTTCTCACTTTTCCTCAGCACATGTCCTCCAGCCAGTTGTTTATCCCTCATTAAGTCCTACAAAAATCCTCCACTCCGCCTTTGTTCATGCTGTTTCTCCTAGAGAGAATGACCTCCTCCACTTTCTCCTATGTAGACTAATCCTGGCCATTCTGGGAAGCTGAGCAAACTCATGTTCCGCCTCTTCCAAGAAGCAGTTGGATCATTCCTTTCTCCAACTATACTAGACAGCACTTACATTTTGCTGTATCGTCTACTGTGTTTTGTTTATTGCATGTTCCTCAGACTGCATGCTGCTGTAGGACAACGTCTTAAATACTTCTATTTTCTGCCTGTCTTCATCCTTTTCTTCTCCCTCTCTCCCTTTCTTCTTTCTATTGTTTGTTCTCTTTACTGTAGTATGTACAGCAGAATTTGGGGGTGGGGGGATCCAGAAAGAGCAGTAGTTGTTTTATAAATAAACACAGTAATGCCAGACTTAGGTTAGTGGGGCTCTTAGTACATCTCTTTTACCTCGCCTGATCACTGGGCCATGAAAGTTTTCTAGTGTTTTTTAGCTTTTAATTTGGAAGTCAACACTCCTCAGCATGTTTCTTTGTAAAAATAGTGTTACTAGGGCACATGTCTGAATTTAGTTTCTACTTTTAAACTTTATGTAGTCTCTCAAAAGAACAGAAATAATCTAAGAAATATGAACAAATTGAAGGAAAACATTGAACTATCACAGTAATTAAACAACTTAGTTATTTATTTTAGTCATGTGTTAAATCATGCCCTCCTCATTTAGAGAGTTTATGATAGCAGAATTGCAAAGTACCAAACTACCAACTGGAGACAGGACCCCACCTTCTGGTTCTATAGATGAGTCAGCTGAGCCCAGAGAGAGACACAAAGTGTAAATGAGGTATTGCCTCTTGCAAAACAGTTAGCCTCTCTCCCCTTCCAGCTGTACCTCTTCAGAAAGAGATTCCTCTGCTTTTGCAAAACTCTTCCTATTATGCCTTTTTTGTTTCAAAAAGGTTGTATGTAAATAAGATGCAGCCCTATCTAGGGACCCAAAGTTGGGCAAGATCAAACAATAGAGATTCTTCCCATTTTTGAAATCTTATTTATGCTTTTAGGACAGAATACTTTTCTAGAACTGGGCTCTAAGTCTTGGTAAAGAGAATTTTTGTGGGGATGAGGAGCAGAATGGATGAGATATAGTTCTGAATATGCAAACAGTGGTTTGTTTTTTGAGTCTGTTGCAAGGCTAAAGAAGAGTCTGATATCAAGCAGAAATGGGATAGAGTTGCTGCATCCTTTGCCGTGGAACCTCCAGTCAGGCTTGGCAAGGGGTTAGGAAGGATGCATGACCCTTGCTTGCCACTCTTTCTCTCTACAGGAAATGGAATTGTACTGGAACGACAGCCTACCTGCAGCCTCAAGGACAACACACTCTCAAATTCACACTGGGGTTCTAGAATACTCTGGAATAACCTTCCTCCCCATCTGCACAATCTTGGCACACTCAGTGAAAGGAAGAGTAGGACTTTGCCCTAGTTAGATCAGTCCTTCTGCCTTTGAAACCTAGGACGAAGGCTGCTGTGCTTCAGGTTGTTAAGTCTTAGTGGTCCTGGACCTTGGAACTGCAATCCTGGACCGCTAAGATTTAACAACCCTCCTTCAATTCTATTTTGGGGTGGAGGTGATAAGCAGAGGAGAAGGAAACGGTTTTTTTTTTGGACCAAAAATTACAACCCAATCTGTGCTTTTTGTTGTGTTTTATTTTTTAAAGCCTAGAAATCAATTGCAATTCTACTCCTTTGCCTCAGCATGGTTTTCTTCTCTAAGAGCTTTGCGTTTCTAGATGTAACAAGCAGTCTCGCCTTGCGTATTTTGTTGGAGCAGCTGCCTACTCTCATCCTTGGAGAAGTGAATGTAACTCTCTGGACCTTTGGTTTCCCACCTGTTCAATAAAGGGGTGAAGATCGACGCCAAAACTCTCATCTACTGTAAAACAGTGCAGGTTTGCGAGCCCCATTGCCTTTGAGTTTTCCACTCTAGTGTCCAGCACAAAGATAGTAAAAGATTAAGGAGAGTTGTTAACATGGAGGTCGAGGCTCACTGGCATAAGGTTTGCAGCTTCGACCCGCCTCAAAGATACCCCCCTTCCAACATTTCTGAATTCGGAGACTGCGGTGGGGTATCCTGTCTTTATTCTGCTTCTCCAACGCCGGGGCAGAAGGTCTGGGAGAAACTCCCTCTGTCTTCAGGACACTTGTCTATACCATCCCCAAACCGAAGTAAAACGGATTTCACCTAGCTCCGTTTCTCACAGTTCTGCCGCTAGTCCCTCGAGGTCCCCATTACTTCCCAACCCCAGAAATCCTTCCAGCCGCACCAGACACACTTTGCACCCCTTACCCGCGGCTCTGCGAGCTTGGCGCTGCGGAGGAGTAGGGCGCTCTCCCAGGGCGTCCCGGGCTCCCGCCCCACCTCCTGCCCCAGCCTTTCGCGTTCGCAGCCCCCACGCCCCGCCCCAGGACTCTGCAATTGCTTTCTCCTCCTAAACTCTCTGGGCGCTCTCCCGGCGGACGCATTCCTTCTTGCAGCCATCCAAGGAGAACCTTTCCTTCCCCCCATCCCCAGCCTCCCCAGCCAAAGCGAGAGCCAGTCAGTGGGCAGGGCGCCTGGCACAGTGGAGCCTCTCGGACCGGCCTTCTGCTGGGCGGGGTTGGGAGGGGGCACCCGTCCTCTCTGGGATCGGGGGGTGCCGGCTGGTCAGGGGTGCTCAGCTCTGCCAGGCATCCGCTGGGCAGGATTGGATCTGGAGAGCAGCCTCGCGCTTGAACCCATCACCTAAGCGCCCGAGCCGCCGCCTCCTTCCCGCGGGCGCCCCCAGCGCTCCCCTCGAGCCAGGCCAAGCCGGAGAGTCCCGGGCGCGGCCGGCGCCCGCCGCCGCTTGCCAGAGCTCCAGCTGCCCCGCACGCTTTTTGCCGGCGCCCTCCAAGGAGGGGCGCGCGGGGGCCCAGAGAGGCACCTCCCGTCTGCCCACCCTCCCCCTTCCCTGCCCGCCCACCCGGCCGGAGCTGTGCGGCTCCGCGCAGCGCTCGAATTCCGAGAGGGAAGCGCCGCGCTGTATCCCTGGCGTCCTCAGTCCTGCCCCGCGAAGTGGAGATGCGCGAGAGGCAGGCGAGGGCGCGCAGCTCGTGAGAAGCCGCGCCAGCCGGCACCATGCGCCTGCGGCCGCTGCCCCTAGTCGTGGTCCCCGGCTTGCTGCAGCTGGTGAGTGTCCGCCGCCCCACGCGCTAGGGACGCGTTTCGGCGGGAAAACCGCGCGGGAGGCTGACTCGGAGCCAAGCCTGGGCCTGCTTAGGAAGTGGGGCTGGGGGCGCGCGGAGGGCAAGGAGTTTTGGGTTGCCTTAGAGCTTGCAAGGGAAGAAGGGAAGAATTGAAGAACGGAATAGAGGGTATCTAGAGGCGACTGAGGAGCTTAGCACGGGTTGGGACTTGAGCGCCAGGGTAAAGTGACCGAAGGTGGCCCGGAAGAAGGTCCGGGAGAAGGAAGAGGTTTGTTGGTGCAGCGGTTAAAGAAAGAAAGGGAGGTAGTTGGACAGGATGAGAAGGGGCAGAAAGACCTTCCTCCAGTTCAGTTTGAGAGGCTTGGTGGTGTTTATTTTTCACGTGGTGTCTTGCCCGATGCACACAGACACTTCTTCCAAAGCAGGGCTTCGTGCATCCTCGTTCTCAGAGCCAGGTAGTGGCTCCTTGCTGGGGGAAAACTTAGGAAAAATACAGATTTGGGGACAGCTTGGATTTCTCTGCGTATTCCGTCTGGCGCTGGGGACTGGGATGGGGTTTTCTGCCAGCTGGGGACGCAGGATGTAACTTTAACGCCCCGCTCCGCGCCGGGGCCCCCCTCTCGCGCATCTCTAAGCTGTCTTTTCTGGGAGACCGCCCCGGCCCGTCTGGGCGGCTCGGGGGCGCTAAGGAATAAGAAAGGTATTAACATGCTGTTTGGGGTTCGCGTTGTCAATCTCTTCACTCTTTCCGCTAGGCGCCAAGCTCTCCTCCTCCCTATGCTTATATGCTGTATGCATGGCCAGTTCATCATATTTAAGGGAAAACCAAAGCAAGACTTTCGAGAAGAAACTTTTAAAGTAAAATTATAGAAGGGGAGTGCTTTGGCTGGATCCGCTTCTGTGATGGATTTCTTCTCGTCACTTAGCACTTGCCTTGACAGGGTGCTATTAAAAGGGCTTTCTCCTGATGCCACAGTTTCTTTGGTCCTCATACTTAAGTCTTTAACCAAGCACTTAGAAGATGACAGTCTCTCTCTCTCTCTCTCTCTCTCTCTCTCTCTCTCTCTCTCTCGTTCTCTTTCTCTCTTTTCCTATTAGAGGGAAAATGAAGTAACTTGGAAAGTTTCTCTATGTTATGTATGATATTGTTAAGGCAGAGGTACTTTGCAAGTTCTGAGTGTGGAAGGAACAAACTCTAAAAGGTGGAGAGGCCACTGAGGTGCCCGTGGTCCGTGCTTACTACGGTGGAGATGAGCTTCACTTGCATAGCGTTAACTCAGAAATTCTTCAATGGCATCAAGAAGAAAATCCAATGATATGCCCAAATGTCCTTGAATGAGCTAACACATACTGTCTATGTACAATACTGCATATTAAAATACACTTTACATATTAGGCATTAATCCAAAATATATGCCACATTAATCTTTAGTATCCCTTGCTTTAAAAATTTTTTAGTCTGGATTCTAATAAAAGGTGATCTAACAAAGCAGCATTTATATAGTGCTTGTAAACAAATGCCTGGGGAAATCAGGTATTTATGTGGGGTCTTCAGAATATCTTCATGAATCTTAGTTCATTCATTTTGCATTTGATGATCATCAACTGTGTATCTGCTCCGCAAGCACTATGATAGGTTCTCAAAGATGAGAAAATGTATTCGGGAATGTGTCAGGGAAAAGTTCTCCTCCCAGCTACTATACTGGAAATGTTAGATTTTTTTTTTCTTCTGCACCGCCATAGTCAATAAGGAATAGGAAATACATCTTGAAGGGATTATATGCCCTCCTTAAGAGCTAGATTCTAATATTACAGCATGGATTGATTGATTAGTTTTTAAGAAAGCTTATGTCAAATGCTAATCCATTTTGGGATTGTGCTTGGGTTGTAATGTTTTTCTCCTGGAGCACTTTATCGTGGTCAGTGAGGTGGGGAGCTGCAGCTCTGTGATAAGCACATTCCTTACACTGCCATCCTTTCCGACAATAAAAGGCTGTTTACATTCTCCACATTCTTAGAGCAGTTGCCAGCCTTATAACACAAGGGGGTTAGAATGTGAAAGGAAAACAGAGTGGCAGAGCAGATGTAAATTGTAACATTCCCAATCCCACTACATACTCCACTCCAGTAGGTCTCAAAAAGGACAGATCATAATTTGCTCCTTTGGATGGCTCATGGTTTTGTTGTACCTTTTTCAGTTGATACTGAACCTCTTTGTTAAACCCTAACAGGATTTAACAAAGGGACAAAATAGTTTCTAGATGTGAAACAAGTATTTTACTTTTCTAGGAACCATATCTACTGAAAAAATCTGCACTTTGCTGAAATAAGGCTTTTCTTTTAAAATTTTTTGGTAAGGGAGGAGGGAAGTTATCTTATTGTTGAAATTGGATTTTACTTTTCCATCTGCACTGCCAGCCTGAAGAGAATACTTTTAAAAAATATTAAATATTTTAAATGTTCATATGGGCATATTGAACAGTTAGTGATATGAAAATTACCTGTTTTTTTAAAGCAGTCACAGGGAGCTGACCCCAAATAATTCACTAACAATGGTCATATATTACACATATAATATACATATATATATATATATAAAATACAATCACAATAACTAGAACTATTTTACTTGTTTATGGGATATTTAAAACTTCTAAGAAAACAATAAGCGGAATCGATAAGTACTGCAGGTAGCCTAGGAAGAACATGTGTCTGTCACCCATTCTTGCCCAGTTTTCCTGCCTGCGTATAGTGTTTTTAAAAGACAGGTTGCTATAGTGAATTAATGGGATTACTAGGCATTTGCAAAATTTAAGTATCCATCTTGAACGTATTCCTTTTTTTTTAGTTCTTCTTCAGCAATATACTGTTGTAAGTAATATTAAGAGCACAATATTTCTTTTCTGCTATCTAATGAAGAAAAAATTAGCATTTGAAGTGAATATTATAACAAAATGAGTGTTGTTTCATCATGATATAAGGTAAAGACTTCACCAGATGTCAACTGTTTACAGATCTGCGTGATGATTTGTAACTGGTAATAAGTGTGATATTTTGCCTTCAAGTAAAATGAAGATTATAAAAAGATTAAATTTTAATTTAAGTGAATGATTAGCTAGTGTTTAAGAGAAAAATTTAGTGCTGATTTAAATAATCAGTTTCTTACACATTTCAACTTGTTTTTCTGTGATACAATGCTGAGTTTACAAAATAAAATATCAGTTAAAAGCGATGTAAGTTGGGAAATTTTTAGAATCCTATAAAATCAGATCCTTGTGATGAACAATAGTAAAATTTTAGGTTAATACTTATAGTGTCACATAATTTATTGAGGGTAATTTATCTTCATGAATCTATATTAAAACAAATTAATAATTTTAATACTTGTTTAGTCTGATGATCCTGTTTATTTCTTGTTCTGTATTTATAAGAATTGATAACGTTTTACTATCTTCCATTCAAAAATCACAATTTTCCTTATACAGCCTTAATCAATAAATATCAAAATAGTATTTTCCAGTGCTGGATCAATAGTCCTCTGTTGGCTATATGACAATGTGGAGGGGAAAAAAAAAACACACACCACTATATCATTGTTATGACTTAGAGTTGGCTGGGCATTAAAATTAACTCCTCGTTATAAATATGATTATTTTAGACACTAAAAAATGAAAATTTTTAAAAATTAAGATTAGACAATTAAATCCTCGGTTCCAGCTACCCACCTCCCAGTAAAAGTTGTATTCCCTTGGCTTATTGTGATAATATGTTGTCTGGTCCAGTTTTAAATGCTTTTCATTTTAAATGCCTTCCATACAAAAAAACTGACTCCTGGGGAAATTATTTTATTGTTTAGTTTCCTAATGGAAAAGAAAAGCTTTCTTAATTTGTGTTCTGTATTTTTTCATAATTTGTTCTTTTTAATTTTTTAAATTAATAATTGGAATGCTAAATAAGGCAGACAGCTTTTTGAAAAATCTTTTAGAGATTTACATTGTCAGCTTAAACTGTGTAGTTATTGCAAACCAAATGTATAAAGAAATGTTGGTCTTTATAATACATTGCCCACTTTTTACCTATTAAAGAGCTAATCAATGCATCTTGAATGATTTAGTCATTTAGTGGTAGCAATCAAAGATGAATATAAATGTGTCACAGGTTTGCGATTTTGTAAAAGCTCTAGGCTGTCTCTTACTGTTTACATATTCTGTGGACTCTTACCTGAAGCTTTGCTGGAAAAGATTTGAAAAAAGAATTATAGCCGAACACTCAAATGCTTACAGTTAAGGCTGGGTCAGCGTTTCTGTAAAGAATCTCGTTTCTATCTTAGCCATAAGCATTATTGCTGGTTAGAAGCTGGCATTTAATATCTTGATTTGGGAGTAAATTATTTCAAAACTGCTTGAAAAAATTGGTCCAAATGATTTTGAGTGCTCCCGATATGAGGTTACTCTCTAGGTATCCTTATAGTATGCAGGATGGTGATTTAACAAACTAATTTCTGTATTATTTACTTGGTGACTAAATTAACAGGCACAATTCTATGGTTTTGACTTGCACAATGGTTATAATTTAAGTTGGGATACGTTTAAATGATTTTAGATAAACTTTTCTCAGTTAACATGTTTAACACTATTTCATTATAAGTATTTTAAATTATGCCAAAACAGGTACCCTTTTATATGTCTTTATTTAATAAGGTAATTTTTTCATTTTGATGTGATTAGTGGTATTGATGACAACTCCATTCTTTATTTCAAAATCCTGCTAAATAAAAAAGGGATCTAAAGCAATTTAAAGTATAAGTTATGGTACAGATTTTCATATTACAAAAAGATCTTAAGATGTGATTGACTGAAAACTTCTATTTTATTTTACTTTTTAATTTATGAAAATCTAGATTAAAACTCTCAAACAAGTGTTTGGTTCATTATGCTGTAAGATTAGTATGTAATAAGGAATTCTCTTTCCTTATAGAATTAC